TATGTGTACTGTGATCTGCCCTAAGTTCCCTCGGGGAGATAGGGTAGAATATAAATGAAGTGTTATTATTATTATTATTATTATTATTATTATTATTATTATTATTCTACCCCTCCTATGAGAAATACGTGGTGCCTTATATACCTCCCATTTTATCTTCACAGCAGCCAAATGACACGGTTATAGGTAAATGCTATGACTGGCTCAAGATCATCCAGCGAGCTCAATGAGATGTGAATGCAAGCCTTCACAATTCCGGCCTTAGTTTTGTACTGATTAGTACACAACACTGCCTCTCATCTACAGCCAATATTTCATCAAACTTCAACTTTACTTTGTGAATGCGAGGAAGAGATTTGATGCAGAATGTCCAAAAATCAAAGTACAAGACTGCATTGCCCTGCTCCTCATTGCCTATTGATTTGCTTTATTCCTGGGATGAGTTCATAGAATCATTTCTGTGGAAGAATGTGGGTAGAAGTAATTTATCTATGGTATGGCCATAGGCATTTATCTGATACAACCACTCTGACATCATTTCTCCATAAACTCTTGCCACGTCAATAAGGATAAGATGGCAATCTCTTGCAACTTCACTCATTCAACCTTTTTCCAAAGATGGCTGAATCATGGAAGATGGTATGTAGGCCTGTGATTAACTGATCTACTACTTTTTATATGTTTTGTTCATTAAAGTGAAAGCCAAGAGCTATGTCAACAAACAGCTGGACAAGCTAAAAGCCTGGTTTGGATGCATAAAACTTGTCCAAAATGAGTGGATTTTAAGGACTAGTCTGAGGACTTGGCAACTACACTTTGGCACTGGATTCGTTGAGCGAAAACAATCAGCTTTTTCCGTAGATATGACTGTGTTTTATGAATTTGGAATTTTAATTTTATTATGTCAGATTTTATGGATGTCTGTTCATGTTTTTATTGCTTTGATGTCTATGTAATTGGTTTTTATTTTATGTGTAGTACTTTAGAGTGCATTGTTAGCCGCCCTGAGTCCCTTCGGAGAGATGGTGGCAGGGTATAAATACAAATCTATTATTATTATTATTATTATTATTATTATTATTATTATTTTACTGACACCACAGTATGTCACAGCAAACGAGATCTATATGCTGGATTTCGTATCAAAAAATCACAAGTCGAACACTTCCCAAGCATCTAGGACTGTGTGAAGTATTTTCGAATAATGTGTGCAGATCCAAGTAAGGTGGCCTTTTGCAGTTGAGAGATCGTGATTTTGTCAATGTTTATTGTTTCCAAATGCCGGCTGAGATCTTTTGGTACGGCACCCAGTGTGCCAATGACCACTGGGACCACCTGTACTGGTTTATGCCAGAGCCTTTGCAGTTCGATTTTGAGGTCTTGATAACGGCTGAGTTTTTCTTGGTGTTTTTCCTCAATGCGACTGTCACCCGGTATGACAACATCAATAATCCAGACTTTTTTCTTTTCCACAATCGTGATGTCTGGTGTATTGTGTTCCAAAACTTTGTCAGTCTGGTTTCAAAAGTCCCACAGTATTTTTGCATATTCATTTTCCACAACCTTTGCGGGTTTATGATTCCACCAATTCTTTACTGCTGGTAGGTGGTACTTTTGATGTAAGTTCCAGTGAATCATTTGGGCCGCAGAGTTGTGTCTTTGTTTGTAGTCCATCTGTGCGATTTTCTTGCAACAGCTGTGGAGATGATCCATGGTTTCATCAGCTTCCTTGCACAGTCTGCATTTTGGGTCATCAGCTGATTTTTCAATCCTGGCCTAATGGCATTTGTTGTTGTTGTTGTTGTTGTTGTTATTGTTATTGTTGTTATTGTTATTGTTGTTATTATTATTATTATTATTACTACTACTACTACTACTACTACTATTTGAAACACAACAAGATTAGTACACAGCAAACAAGATCACTGTGCTGGCTGTTGTATTGGATCACAAGTCAGACACATTTTTAGTATTTATTAAACCCCACCTTGTTAAAACATAGTTTCATTGACAGAAATGGTGTAAAGACTACATAAAATTAGGCCAAGACTATATGTAGCCCCAGGACTACTGATTGTCCATCATTGTTTGGAATGAAATACTTTTGTCTACTGCTGACTTGAGGCATCATGAGCATTGTGACCAGTAAATTGGACTTAGATTATGTCATAAATAAATGAGATCCATTGAAAAGTTAGTCTTGACCAATCAAAGCCCCACTGATCTCAATAACTCTATTTTAAATATGATTAATTCTGAATCCAAATCACTGTTATTTTCTGCTGCTGTCAACACTGCATAAATTTTCTCCATCTCCTTTGCTGTGACATTTATGCCTTCAGGATACTGAAAACTAATCATAGTCTTTGAATGCTGAATATAATGTTTCTCCCGTGAGAATTTGTCTATGGACTGTTTTTGCATCTGCCTAGCTGAACAGCAGCCATTTAGACATTCAAGAACGGCAATAAACGTCACCATTATTAAAGATGGAAAAGGAAAATGCATTTTATATAAAAGATTGCCATCCTAAACGTACTTCCAAGTAAATATTTATAGTGTTGACTTATATGGTCTAGATTGCCCTCTCTACTTTGGTTCATATATCTTATATCCACAGGATTCCAATAGCAGAAAGTCAAATGGTCAACTTTCTGGATCTGGTTGTTTGGCCTGTAGCTACCAGAACATGTGCCTTTTAGCTTTCTGTATTTGTGTGTTTTTTGTAAAGTATGAAATTCATGAAGTCGCCGTAAGTCTTTAAACCACATGCCACAATTACCTGATAAATAACTGTACTTCAATATTGATACAATAAGTTCTACTGAAGCCACTGGAGCACAAAAAAAAATTAAAAAGGCACTAAATCAGCCTAAAGTCAGGTACTCCATTTCAAACTTGTCCAAAATGAAAATGCAAAACAAATTTATGGGGAAGAGGCAATAGCATGCCTCAAACAACACTGTGTATATATATAAACAAGGAACTTGGAGATTACAATTCAACACTTTTCATACCCCAGGAAGTAGCCACAAAACGGAGGCATACTGGTGCCTTGCTAAGATTAAAATCATGATAAGGGATTACCACTCTTCATGCCAAACAACAGCCAAGGAATGCAGACCACATGCATTGACCATATTTTGTTCCACTGACCACATTGTGTGTGACTTGCTAGAATTGTTGTTACTGGGTGCCTACAAGTCATCTCTGACTAAAGGCGACCCTTAAGGCAACCTTATGATCAGGTTTTCTTGGAGTGATTTTGTTCAACGGTGGTTTGTCATAGCTTGCTTGTCAGGATAAGAGGTTGTGAATTGTCCAGTCATTTTGTGTGTGTGTGTCAGAAGTGACCTGAGAAACTGCAAGTAGCTTCTGGTGTGAGAGGATTGGCCGTCTGCAAGGACATTGCCCAAGGGACTCCCAGATGTTTTGATGTTTCACCATCTTTGTGGGAGGCTTCTCTCATGTGCCTGCATGGGGAGCCGGAGCTGACAGAGGGAGCTCATCCGTCCTCTCCCCAGATTCGAACCTCTGACTTCTCGGTCCTCAGTCCTGCTGGCACAAGGGTTTAATCCATTGTGCCACTGAGGGCATGCAATAGGTTTACAGGAGCAAATGGGATATCCTAGTTCAACATGCAAACCACTAAATTACACTGGTTCTCAGCTAGATATATATTTCACTATTGATTTTCTTCAGACCTGTTAATCATTATATTCCTTCTATCCTTATACTAAATTAATGATTATGTCTTGTAGAAATGTTCATTGATTACCTATTTCTAACCCTGGCAAGTGAGAACCTATCTAGTTATGAAGTCAATAGATTCTGTTTACTGATTTCCTACAAAGAAGAGATGAAATGGGGAAGATTTAAAGCACAATGTCATGAAGTAGAAAAGAAGAGAGGAACATTTTCTCTGGCCATGCACACATTTTCCCAGACATGCACATAACCAGAGGGGAAACAATGGCTTCACTCCATCTGCCTTTCTCTCAGGTCAGTGCCATGATGAAAAGGAAGCTGGTTCAGAATGTAAATATTTAAAATATTTAAATTTTAACTAATATGAATGTCTTGCATTTTGATATCAGTTTTGGTTTCTTGGTTTTGCATGGTAGATAGCTTCAGTATTTCCCCCCAAAAAATGATAAGCAGTCTGTAAATCAATTAAATGAATAAATAAATGTACATCAGAAGACTAGGGCAAAAAAGGTTTTGAGGAGAAAAGTCAAGGTTTGGGAGAGACAGAAGTTATTTCCTTTCTTCCCTTCTCCTGGTGCAGTCTAAATAATTATCCTCCCAGAGGGTGATATTAAAAAGCCAGTGATTACATCTTGGATTGAGTTAGGCTGCCAGCGAATTTAGTTATGCCCTCTAAGGCATAGTGTAGACTCTAATCCAGATCAATGCCGTTAATCTGCATTCTGAAATTGCATTATATGACAGTGTAGATGCAGCCTCAATCGCTTCATGTTTCAAAGAAGAAAATGCCAAATTGTGTACAAATGTAAATAAATAAAACAACAATGTAATACATTGATTATCAAGTCATACAAATGTAAAGAAATCCTCAAGTAGAAAGTCCATCTGATTTCCGCCCGTTCGCTTTTGCCAGCACTCCATCTAAACCGCTCAGACACGCATACGTCAAGTTCCCCTATTTTACCTCCCTAACAATGCTTTGAAGTGGACAAAGCTGAGACTGAGATAGAGTTTGGCTGAACCTGGATTCAATCCATGTTCCTCCATACCAGCTCTAAATTCACAACATAACCTGACATTCCGAGACGCTTCCCAGAAGTTCACAACCTGGGAAAGTCCTGGAACTCTTTCAAGATATGCATTTAATACTTGTATTTCATCCTCCTAACATTACACCCAAAATATAAACTAACCTGAAAGCTGCCGCTCTTTGGTATGTCCCTGGCTGAGAAAGAACCACACACCTTAACCCTCAAAGCGGCCCCATTCTGACAGCTTTGGCCTCAATTTACCTTGAATATGTTCTCGTTCAAAACTAGGAGAGGAGACTTCTTCAGTGGCAGAATCTAAAGCAGGGAAATACCTGTCCGGCTCCAGTCAGCAAATATTCTCCACTCCACTCTAGGTTTTTTTTTCCTCTCCCAGAGGAGACAAGCTGTAAAATTGTTCTCACACAGTCCTAAGGGGAGCTTTAAAGCAAATGAAGAAAAAAAGGGGGGATGAGGGAGATGGGCACGCCTATTCCAGTTCCACTGCTCCTAGTGCTGTTATAAATATAACGTCCCAGTGCCAGGAGATGAAGTAAAAAAATTCTGACGTCAACTGGACAGTCACCCTAGCAGCTGGGTGGGGAAGGAACCTTTACATGTCTCAAACCCACAATTGAATCCATTACCATTCATGAAGTCAGCTGAGAAAGCATACCTCCCTGGACACTGAAAGACCAAGAGGGTGTGGGACCTCAAGTCAAAAGGACTGCTCCTGTTTTCCTCTTCCCCATGGTATCTTTATAAACTTTCCTACCACTGAGTTCAGTCAACGACCAGAAGAATGATGTGAGAAACCACAAAGAGCCATTTTCACCTCACCTCACCCTCCAAACACACACAGACTTTCTCAGTGCCTTAGCCAATTGGTTCATACTTGTATATTTGGGAGAATTTCATACCCAGAATGAACAGGATATTTTTAGCTCATCAAGACAATTACACTATGACTCTGGAGTTTGTTTCTATGCTTAGCTATGGTAGTAGTAAACTTTATTATGGTCGATAAAGTTAGCTATGGAAGTTACCTATGGAAACCCACTGGGTTACCCACTGGGTAACCTTGGGTTGGTCACTCACATCCAGGCCCAGAAAAGCCTTAGATCACCATAAATCAGCAATGACCTGGAGGTCCCGCTGGCACAATGGGTTAAACCCTTGTACCAGCAGGACTGAAGACCAACAGGTCGGAGGTTCGAATCTGAGGAGAGTGCAGATGAGCTCCCTTTGTCAGCTCTAGCTGAAAGAAGCCTCCCACAAGGATGGTAAAACATCAAAACATCTGGGCGTCCCCAGGCAATGTTCTTGCAGATGGCTAATTCTCTTACACCAGAAGCAACTTGCAGTTTCTCAATTCACTCCTGACATGGGAAAAAAAATGACCCACAACAACAACAAAAACGTATCAAACAGAGAGCCTATTTAACCTACTGATTTTGCAATTCAGTAATCAATGAGTGACTTTCTGCTTGAACTAGCTAAAACTGAAGGGGTTCCAGATTTCATTACAATTCTCTGTAATTGAAGAACTCATCTCAGACCACATACACAGGGCAACTCCACACAAACATTATAACCAACTCGAGGGCAGGGTGCCCATAAAACACACATCTCTAGTGCACACTGCAGTGAATATTAAGCCCACAAACACCTTGCCACAAAGTCCAACATAAGGCAAATAATACATTGCAAACCGCCAAAGTATATTCTATGCAGGACTTAAAACTGGAACAGGAAAATGTGGAGCGCGTGTCAGGACATCCCTTGTACTGATGCACTTTTTAAAATGCAAAAACACAAATGTCTGAAAGGAAAACAATCACTCCACCAGGAGGGAAACCATATTACCATGGGAACTTACTTTCCAGTCTGTTGTTCTCATTTCCTGTGCCCTGCCATGGTCCAGTACTGATCTCAAATAGACATGACAATGCCCATCAGCACATTTTAGCAGACTTGTAAAGAAAAAACATTATGGGCCAGTTCCAATCTGCAATCAGCAGATACTGTGTCCACTGTTCCGGGCTCAAAGCTGGTCCTGAGGTGTTTGTGTGAGTACTTTGCAATGGAAACAGTTCCTCTAAATCCACTTCCTAACTTGGTTTTAGTGTCTGTGTAGAACAGTGGTTCTCAGCCTGTGGGTTCCCAGATATTTGGCCTTCAACTCCCAGAAATCCTAACAGCTGGTAAACTAGCTGGAATTTCTGGGAGTTGTAGGCCAAAACACCCGGAGACCCAAAGGTTGAGAACCACTGGTATAGAACCATCCTCAGATAGATTGATGGTTAGGTGCAGGTTAGCTCAAGGCATTACATTGCTTGGGGCAAAGGAAAAATGCATCTTTCCACCATTCCACATGCAGAAGTTGTTGAACACAACAAGGTAGAATTCATCATCCATTGTAGAGGCATTAGATGAATGTAGGGAAGGTGGAGAGAGATGTTAGATTTTCAAAACTATCTATTCTCAGTTCTGATCCATGACAACCCAATCTTATACTGATACTGATACAAGATGCCAATCAGTGTTGATACCCCTCTGTCTCACAAACTTTTAAAACAGGGTCCCAGGCTTTACTTCAAAACTAGTTGCAGGACATTATTCTCCATTACTGTTCCTGAGGGGAGTAGGCTAGTTGAAGAGACATGGGCAATGCTTGAGGCATACAGACAGGAGAATCAGCAGAAACCTCAGAAGAGTGGCCAATATTTTCCCAAACCCTTTCCTTGTCACAACTCTTTCCCAGCATCTGTTTGCCTGAAGCAGTTATCTCATTCTTACTAATTGTAGAGCCAGCCCTAGAAGCATAAATGGTGCCATGAGCAACAAGAGCAAAGCCTTAGGGGCTAAATTAGACCATCCTATCAGAATATTAAGAACAGAGCTTGTGAAGGCAGCAAACCAGCCTGTGATCATAGCAGACCTGACTGGAGAAACGCAAGGACAGAGGCTGCCCCAAGTGACATAGCTAGCTAAATGTGAGAAGGGCCTGCCAGTGCAATGAACCAAAGGATGAGTAGGAACCTGGCTTCACCGCAACTATCTGAAAGCCTGAAACTACCCCTGAGGCTTAAACAGGTACAGGTGGAACCACACCCTAGACTAACCCAAAGTAATATTTGGGCCATGCGAAGGCACCTTTCAGATAAGAAAAAATGTACAGTACTCTTCAAACTATAGGACTACCTCAGCAAAATATTTGGAAAAGGCCTGGTGCATAGGCAAAGAAGTCCTACAAACAAACCACCCACCCTCTCAAGTGGATGCACGGTAATATATTCATTAAACCAAGAAAAATCTAGAGAGTATATTGTGGGAACTTCTTTAGACCAGTTTGGAAGTGTCATCTGTCCATTTTCAGAGAGAGTTTGGCAACTTAAATTGCCACAGCCACAATCAGTTTAGGGCAACGAAGATTCAAATACTATACCTATACTCCACAATGATTGATAGGTACTCTCTGGAAGTATCCTTTCAGCAGCAAGATGAACTTTGCCAAAACATGCAAAAGATATAAGATTATGTACGTAGGTTCTTTCTACACAGTTGATAAAGCTCTGCTTCAACTCACATTTTCCTGGTCGATAGTGACCATGTTGACACCATACACTTCCTGATTAAGTTGAAGTAAGAACAACATTACCAGCCACAAGTTTCCTCTATGTGAGCTCACTTCAGTATTAAAGTTATTATTATTTGATACACAACAAGAGTAGTACACAGAAACAAGATCGCTATGCTGGTTTTTGTATTCAATCACATGTCAGACACTTCCCAAGTGTCTAGGACTGTATTATTATTATTATTATTAATAGTAGTAGTAGTAGTAGTAGTAGTATCTTGCTTTTATATCTGTGATTTAGATGCAATACGGCAATCTTGCAATGTTCACATCTGCTATACTCCCAGATCCCCCATTCATACATACAACTATATGAATGTATGTATGTCCCTATTTTATACAAATACTTCAACAGGACAATGGTGATTCTATTAACCAAAGCAAAGCAGCTGGCATTTAAATGCTGATAATGAAATGATGAAGGCATGCTAATATTGATATACAGGTATGCACATTTATTTATTTTACTTTACCACATTTGTACCCCATATTTCTAACCTGAAGGGGACTCAGAGCGACAAAGGCAACAATTAGATGCAGCACAATTAAAGCAATCACAATAAACAAATACATTGAAATCCAACAATTAAAACATCAACATTAAAACCATAATTAAAATCACGCAATCCAAATCATTATCCATAATGGGCTTTTAAAGAATAAATGGAATTGCACAACGGCAAAATGGAAACAAGTAGCTTTTCATGGTGGGAAAGACCAGGGAAACTCCAATTTCCCGGTGCCATCCACATTCCAAAACACAGCCCCTGGTTCAATACTGAGGCCACCTTGGACAGTGAGCACAACATAAAATTATCTGCATTTTCCAGAAAAGTACAGGGTAAAAGATCAGTCTTTTTAACTTCGATTTGAATCCACAATTAAGGCATGTATTATGCCAATACAAGGTGAATACATTTTTGCCCACATAGAAGCAATCTCATAGTATAAAATTATAAGAAAATGACCAGCCATTTTCAAAAATTTAACCTTTTCTTCTTTGTGGATAAACAAAGACTAGTAACCAAAGGAATGCACTTTATTAACAAATTGGCCCAATGTGTTTCCTCAGTCCTGCATCAGCTATGTAAAGGATTGCAACCCATGGCTGCATCTCCACCAGGTAAAATATTTCAGTATAGACTACTCCAGACCTGCATTGGATACACCACAGGGAGTTCACACTGGGATTGTGCGCAAAACCATTTCCCTTCATTTCATCTGTTCTTTCATTCCTTTTTTACCTTCAGGAGCATGTAATGGAAAGTCCCCTCCCGGTACAAAAATCAGCTCGACACAAAAGCAAGGGAGAGTCGATCCCGGTTCCTCATCTGCTTCTCATGAACAGCCTCCTTGACTTGGAAAGTGTGTGTGTGTGTGTGTGTCGCGTACAGGCCCAGATAGTGTGTGTCCCTGCCTGCAGCCGAGCACTTCTTCTAGAGTAAGAATGAGAACTAGCCTCCTTGCCTTGGAAAGTGCATGTGGCATGCAGCAGTCACAGAAAGTTGTCAATACATTAAAAACACTGGGGTCACTCTGAAGTTTCCTGGAAGCTTTAAAATAATCTGTGGTTCTTGTTGTGCTGCATTAAAGGCTGGAAGAAACACTTCTACTGTGGAACCAATTATGTGCCAGGTTCAAGTGGAATACATTTTCTTTATCCCATATAGCCACTGGGTCTTACTAACCTTAAATTTCTATCTTGATTAAGAATTATATGTATTATATTAAACACCTAACATTCTCTCTTAAAATAGTCAAAAATCAGTGCCTTAACTGGAAGTAGAAAAATTGCTGTTCTAATTTTTGAAAAGCAAATATAATTATGACACTAAGCTCTGTGACAAATATCC